GTCGGTGCGCGCGCGTGCGTGCCGACGCCCGGCTGGTGCGCGTGCGGGCGCGTGTCGGCATGCGCCCGTGTGTGTCGGCGTTCGTGTCCGTGTGCGCGCCGCCGACACGTCCCCCGTTCCGCTCACCGTTACCCGGTCTCTCTCTCTCCGTCGCACGCCGGCCGGCTAACCCCCACCGCCGCCGCCGCCGCCGCCGCGTCTGCCCGCCGCCGACTCACCCGGTGAGATTACACACACGCGCGCGCCGGCGTGCCGACGTACGCCGCGCGTCCTCGTGCACGTCTCTAGCGCGGGAAACGCCGGCGGATTTTCGGCGGGAACCCCGTGGCTGCCGCCCAAAATCAACAACCGCACCAGTTTTCGGTCGGCTCCGGTAAAACACCGATTTCGACCCGGCGAACCGGTAAAAAACGTACGAGCATATGATTTAATTTTCTTGCGCCGGAAGCGCGTTGCAACGATAATCCGTGTTCATACAGAAAATATTATTTACTTGGCTCATGATATGAACGTTTAATTGTTCGGTGACGGCAGCTACATGGTCAAAAGATTATGATTGTTGTAGTAAATGCGGACGGAAACGTCTTCCCCCCCTGGACAATATGATAAAACTCGTAAAATAATTTTATTGCCAGAAAAACTGTACCAAATAAAACAACTTCTCCCAGCGTACATGTATAAACATGTGTAACGTAATTGTGTTCCGGCCATCATGGTGCCACATGCATCCATGCAAATAAATTGCGGCACAGCTCATTCTACATCGCGATGTAGAGAAGAGAAGAAAGATTTTCGCTAGTGTATGTGTTTTATTGTCCCTCCCCTCCCCTCCCGATCAAAATATTTGCTAACGTTATTTTCTGCGGCGCAATGCATTGTCGCAGTCTCCTCTCCTCCGGCTGAGCCGCATAAAATAAAACGAATCGTCGCGATCCGTCTGGTCGTCTCATCCGGCTTGTCGACGGGTCATAAATAATGAGCGAATTATAATGTGTTGGAAACGATAAAAAATGTGACGAAAAGGGACACCGGGGGACGCCGCGCCAAAACCGATGGGCATAAAGCGCTGCGGTCTCGAAAACAAGATCACACGCACTTCACGTTCATGATAAATAACTAATGACTGGAGCCAGGATTAATATGCATTTAAAAAGTATCAAATATGATGCAAATATGCAATGAAAAAGTGCCTAAATATGCAATTATACTTCATAAAATGTGTTTTTTTTTTTAAAAACCACACTTTTATACCAAATAGAATTCTAAATATTTTATCAAAAACAAAAAAAAAATAATAATTTCCACAGTTTAATATTTCAAATCATTTAAATCAATCTACAAATTTTAAGAAACTTAAAAACGAGAATACAAATAAAAAAATAAAACCAAAAATAAACATTTTTGATTATTCGAAGTTACCTACTCTCAAAAAACGAATAGAAAACTTAAAAAAAATACGAACAATTTTAATTTATTAAAAACCCATTAAATATGCATGTTATTTACATTTACGAACAAATGAGCAATAACCCTTGTAATACGCGAAGTATGCAATATAGAATTTGGTGTTTAAATCCGGTGCGATACGAATCGTGGTCATTTTAAACCTCCATACACTTAGTAGAAACGTGCAAATGCATATAAATCCGGGCTCTACTAATGACCGTTTTTACCATTCGGATTTTACGAATCATAACGCGCGCGCGCACCACGTTTATTGTATCAATCTCGTCCATTGATGCACATTATCATCAATAGTGCTGTAGTATACTAAATGACGTACATAATTTACCCGTATCGATCGGCGACAGGAAACTGTTTATGGTATCTCTGTTCCCGGAACGACCGAATCTTCCGCGGCCGGAAGTTACCGAAAATAGACTTGGAAATTGAACGTTATCGAATGCCGGATAACGCCTTAAACGACCGGCGCATAAAAATAGGTGTACAACAATATGTGCAACGCGCGCAGGTGGTTCGGTGTGATTGGAAACCGCTTCGGAATATTATTACACTTATAGTCGTTGTTGCGCGATATAATTACGACGCAGTTTATGAACTGCGCGAGTGGTGGTGACTCGCCGTCGCCGCGAAATGTATCGCGTCGTGTTTTTTTCTTTCGCTTTCGGACGTGCGTCGTGCGCAACGTTCGAACACGTCTGCTGTATTCGTCTACGCCCGGCGAACCGAAGGTGTTACTGTTAATAACACGTACGCGTTGAATGTATATGTTATCGCGCTATTAAATGTTAGTGAAAATACGTCAAGTGCGCCTAGTGCGTGCACTCAAAATTCGAATCATAAAAACGCACTCTTGTATACAGGGCTTGAAGCGGGGTGAACGCTTGGGGACCCGGTCTCCCTTACTCTCGCAGCACTTAAAAAGCGTTCCTTTTAACATTTCTCCGAAAAGTTTACTGAAACGTTCGACTGTTCGTTGAAAATATCGTGCACAATAAAACGATTGAAAAATTGGCTTTGCGATTTGCGGTGTTAAACAATGTTTCGCCAAAAAAAAACCAACATATATTATTCATAAATTGTGAATTATATAACAACGTGTTGTACTTGTATATAAGTTTTTCAAATTTATTTTATTTCATTAATAATACTTATACTTTAACAATATGTTGTTGAAAACAATAAATAAGCAATTTACAAACTTATACATTTCTACAGCACACGAATGGTTTGTGAAAAAAATTGTTCCCTAACAATACCTCATGAACATATTTACCTATTTATATTTAATTACCTAGTAATTGCTTGGGATTATGTGGAACGTTGAGAATGATAAACCGATTACAGTCCCTCCGCCCTTTTTTTGTCATTTTAAACCCTGCTTATAAGAGTGCGTTTTATGAATCGAATTTTGAGTTTATGCACGTAATGTATACGTAAATAACGCCACTTCAGCCGGCGCCCGGCAGGCTTGCATCATATTGTATTCATTATTATTCATACACGTTATTCAATTATTATTTAACTTTATTTTGCAACAATGCTCAGTTTCTTTCGTATATATTTTATTGTTTTCAATTTCATAAGAACCTAACTAGTGATTTTTTAACGAAATCCGATGGCCCGAGTAGATTTTAAGAAAAAATATTTACTGGATTTGATCGTAAAGTTATATGCTTTTTATTTTTTTAATTAATACAACGCTCTGAAAGGTTAATTTATCCGTATTTAATACATGCGCAAGTTTAACCAGACCTCAAATGTTGGAAATGCATACGTTATGCTACGATCACAAATAAATAAAAACAACTTCTGACTAAAATCGAATTACGCTAACGAAAACTGTTACGTTCATATATTTCAAATTATTACCGATAAATATTAATAAATCATGAATATAATTATAACCTATAATAATCATAAGAAAAGTTTAATATGATACTGATATGCAGTGCCGCAACTACAGAACAGGAGGCCTGTGTGCGGTAATTATATTAGCCCCTTCCTAGGATTTATTTTTGTTGTACGTCTTGTTTATAAGTATCAATTTTTTTAGATTTTAAAACACGTTTCACATTAGTTAGTGTATGATATATGTATATATATCGAATTAAATACCTACAACTGTTGTATATTATACTTCACCACATATTTATGTAGTACATTTATTTAAGTAGTTTAAGTAGTTATGTTGTATGCCTACTCAAATACTCAATGGACTCATTGTTAAATAAATATTATATTACTCTAAATCACTCTTAACTAAACTTAACTAAACTCTATTATAACATCCTTACCTGAATTTTAAAAAAGTTTCTTTTCATCATAAAATAATAATATAATATTATTAAATAATTGTTTGTAAAGTGTAGATTATTTTTGGCTGAGACTAGGGGGGGCCCAAATGTATGTAAGCCTTGGGGCCCGTGTGCACGACACTCTCTGCACACCCGGTTTTTGCGGCACTGCTGATATGAAGAAATATATGAACAAAATATTTACTTTTTATCAAACAGTTCTTTAAGCTTACAAGCTTTTGTGACTTTTTAAGTGTGTCTTATAAGACACTCCAACGTAGAAGGTTTTCGATAACAAATTATTTCTAATTTAATTTATTAGTCATGAATTATGATTCGTAATCAATAATCAACGAATCAATTATAATATACAACATTATGCGTATTTTTTTTTTTTTTAAATTAATAAAAGTATCTATTAAATAATAGTATTACATAATCCATCAAGTTCAGTAAGCAATTTTTAAAATTCCCCAAACAGTTCAAGAATTATAAAGAAATCTTTAGGGGCACTTAACGCCCCTATTCCTTACCTCATTATGGTCATGTATACATACAAGCTGTGAAAGGATATTTACAATATAGCGATGATTTCATCTCTACGAAACTCCTTGCAGTATTTAGTGAACCAATTCAAATAATTGATTTATATTATATTTTTATATATTTATAATATTGCCTTGTGTAGTAAATATGGTGATTCGTCCAAATAGATGTTTTTATTCAATCAATTTTAAAGAAAAGTGTTATTTATTGTAAAAGCTGATTAAAATGCATGTATTCAGTTTTAAAAAAATGTTAATTGCAACCTCCACCCACCTACAACAGGCACCACGATTCATTTGACGGAGATACGATTATGGAAATTAATCCCCTCCCCACCCCCACCGAGTAAATATATTTATATTTATGCACTTTTACTTTTTATTCTTCGTAATGATACTGTAATGGTTATAATTAATTCAATAACATTTAAATTTGTGTCCACTGGAGTATACGGTTACGAGTACAATGTATTAGCGTTAAGTAAAACGCATACAGTCC